TAACTTGAATGAATTAATTCACCTCTTTTTAAAAATTGTGATAAATAAAATATACCTTAGGTGGACATAGAGTTTTTAATGTTTATCACAAAAGTTAATTTCCCACAAAGTCTTTATTTATCACTTAATTTAATAAATAATTTAGTAATTTTTTTTGTTTTGTTTATTATGTTTAAATATTTTTAAATTTATCTATTGTCTTTTACTTTTAATTTAATTTAATTTAATATGTTAACTTTTTAACAGTGATTTCACTCTATTAATTTAATTATATTGATCTTTAACTACATCTTTTATGAATTTTTATTCTTTAAAATTAATTTTATCTCAAATTAATTTTATGAAGATGATAAATTCATTTATTGAATTAATACTAATAAAACATAACCTATTCTCTTACAGTTATTAATACTAATAATATCAAATTAAACTAATAATTAATAAAACAATTATTGAATTAAGCCGTTTAGTCATGCTTTAGGTCAAATACTATGATATGTATCTCAAATTTCGAAAAGAGACAAAGGAGGAATGATTAAATTTCGATGAACTCTCCGAAAATGTGAAATGATGGCTCCCCTGTTTAGAATGAAACGCATTTGAACTAATCACGGCACCGTCATAGCAGGCAATTATTGGAGTTTGGAAGTTGCTGATTGTGATTCTTCTCACAATTTTAACTGAAAATTTATCAATTCAAATTATTGGACCGTGCGATCGTGTCTGAATACATACTAATATATTTTTTTAATATATATCTTAGTTACACAATAAACATAATTATTTCATATTTTTTATTTTATTTTACCTGTATATCATATTATTCAAATTTAAAATCTTTTATTTTCGACGAAAAGATATAATCACTGAACTATTTACGTCGTAGACTAAATACACACTAATTTTAGTTATTATGAACTTATATTAGTTTTATTTACACTATTATTTATATTAGTAAATATTTTTTTTGTAAGGTTTGTGTTTTGTCAAATTAATTGTTGAATTTAACTTTTGTTTTGTGTAAATTATGTAAATTAAAATAGGAATAGTACTTATCCGCCTTATTTTCTAAAGATTATGAAGAATATTATTTTAAAACTACGTCATTTTAATAAATACCTATTGAAAAATACTAAAATATCTTAATTTTAAAGCATGAATTAAGGTTTATTTTGTAATTTTTTCTCCTAATTTTTTTGAGGTAAGGCAAACAAACATTGATCTCAATTAAAATTTTAAGATGATATGATATTTATAACTACACAAACAAGAAACTATGTTTTATTATTTTATTTAATGGTTTAAAATTAAAATTAAGTGTATTAATTATGAAGTGTTAGTTAAACATATAAAATTAAATTAAATTTTGACATGGAGTATGATTTAGAAGAATAAAACATTAAACCCATTTTAATTGATTTGTAACATACAAATTATTCAAAAAAAGGGACTATTGATGATGTAACTAATTATATAAGTTGCTTTAGTATAAGTTGATCACAACTTACATAAATAATTATACTCATCTCATAATTTTATTGATAAGTTAAGTTCAAGAGAACAAAAAGAAAGAAGAGGTAAAACTTTTCGATAAATCAAATTAAATCAATAGATCAACATTTTTTTTTTTTATCTTGAGTTTCGTTATGAGAAATAACATTTTTCATTTCTCTTAATCTATTTTATTTTTATGTTATATTATTTGAATTCAAAATCTCATATTTTATTGAAAAAATATTATTATGAAACTATTTAGGTAATTAGTAATAAAGTAATATTTTAATTAAACGAAATAGTCTAACCTTCTTTTTCTTCAAGTTAAACAAGTCCTAAATTTTTTTGGTTGTTTTTAGGCAGAGATTAAATATATATTTATTACATATTTTTATGAATAATTTATATAAAAAAATTAAGAAAATAAATTTTATTTTTTAAAAAATTGACAAAAATAAAATTAACTTATATTTTTTTATGTAAATTAATAATAATAATATATAATAATAAATATAAGCAAGGAAGAAAATCTCCTCTCTCTTTTTTTTTTTTTCATTGACACCACAACTTTTAAAGTTAGGAGGAATTGAGTGGGTGCACAAAATATTAAATATAAGCGCCACTTGTAACGAGATGATAATTAACTACAAAAATTAAGGGAGCACAAGTCAAGATATTTTGAAGCAAAGAAAGCAGGGAGGGACACAAAAAGTTTAAGAATTGAAGTGGTCACAATCAGTCCAATTTATCTGCGTGGTGGGTGCTTTAATTCAAGGCCCACACCTTCGCCCCAGTAGTCGAAATTTTGGACTTTTGTTTTTTAGATTGTTGTGAAGCAAAAGTAATACTTGCTGGCTTATGTGAAAGTTTTGACAATTATATTTGAGATTCCGTGAACCAATTGTACACTCTAGTCTAATCTTATTACCCACTTTTATACTCTCATGCCATGTTATCTGTCAATCCAATCTTTTTTACTTAGTATGAAAGTAACTTTTGAAAATCATGCACAAACAATTAATCACTTAGTGGAAAAAAGTGGTTTTTCTTGAACTTAGCTTTTAACATGCCCATATCATGAGGATTGACTAGGTTACCCACCATGATTCATTCTCTCTTTCACGCCTCTCTTACAAAAATATCTTGATGAATGACATAAAAATGGACAAATCTTTTGGAATGTTCATGAATTTACCTAACATATATATAGTATTTTAAACTTTTAGGGTTGAGTAATAACACAAATCATTACTTTAACTATACATGTTTTTAACGATAGAAACATTTTAACAAATATTACGAAGAATTTAAATTTAAAATATTTTGAGTAATGATTGATATAAGTCAATGAAAAAGCAACTAAATTTTTTTAAACTATTGATCATGTTATCCTCATATGATTGATTATGTAAGATTAACTCTCCTCAGAATCGTTTTCCACAGTATTTTATTCATTTTGCACAAGAGATAAGCGCCCACCGTTTGTGGGAAATGATTAGATGAAGATGTGTGAATGGGCGAAATGGTGGGCTAGAGTGGTCCTTCTCATTACTGGAGAAAAGTTGGTTGCCAAGACAAAACGGCCAACCTGTTTTCTCTACCTGTCCCCTTCTCTTACCCTCCAAATTTGAAGATTCAATCAACCCATAAATGCAAAAACAAATCTAAACATGTACAGTACTTACTATTACCCAAGAAAAAAAGAATACAACTTTTTATCTTTTTTCAATTTCCCTTTTCCAATATCATCCCTTTCTTGCGCATGGTTTGGATCAGTATTAATTTTGTTTGAGTTATTAAAATTATTAAAATTTTATTTTAATTTAATTATAAACAATAGTTGATAATAAATAAAAATAATTAATATTTATTATTTAATACATTGAAATCAATTTATAAATAAATAATTTTAAATATCATAAATAATTATTTTAAAAAAAATTATTAATTAAAAAAATTAGTAATCTTGATAAAATAAAAACGGTAATCATTACGTCATCTCCTTTGTTGGTTGAGGTTGATTTTTAGTGCTCATTTGGATAAAGTACAACTTTATGAGAAAAGTTTTTATCGAGGCAATAATTATGAAAATGTTATATAAAAAAATTATTAAATTTTATAATAAAATTTTGTTAAATTATTAATTTTTTTATGTTTGTTAAAAAATTGATATAAGAAAAATTATTAAGGAGACTTAATATAAAAATAGTTATAAATAAATTTTTTTCTTTCAAAACATGTGAAAAAAAAATTTTATGTGTTAAAAATTATATAAAAAAATAAAAATAAAAATATTATTTTTACCCTTATTTTATTATAATACTAATATATAAAAATATATAAATAACTTCTTAATGAGAAAATTTGAGAGACTTGAGGGGAAACTTCACCCAATCAAACACCCCACTAAAGGCCACACATATCCTGCATGCCTCAAGCCCACATATATTGACCCAAATCATGGGTTGGATCAAGACCCCAAAAAGTCAAAGAAGAGATAATCCCCAAGCTGGCACTGAACCAATCATAGTTTGACATGTCAAAAGAATTAGCTTTGTTGAGCCCACTTGATTTCATCCTTCCATCTATTTATTTTTTTAATTTTTTAATTTTTATTAAAAAAAAAAAAACCCTAATTCTTTCACCTCTCACCTCACCCGTTTACCTACTTAACCCCCTCAAAAATTCTGAGAAGGCAGAAGCTGGTTGGCTTACATTTGTAAAACTAAATTGAAATTTTATTTAGAACAGTCAATAAAGGAAGAAACTTTAGCTTACCCATTTCCATGGAAACCTGAAATTTAACCTTGTTTCACAATTTCGGTAGCTGTAAGCCTGTAACTATTTTGGGTGAAAAGGAGTTGTGGGTATGATGGAAAATTCCAGTTCACCGGAAAATACAGGCAGCGTTGCTGTCAACGGGGAGAATGGTGAAGGTGGTGGTGCTGAGCTAGGGGAGGAGGAGAGAGAGGAAACCAAAGTTAGTGACCGGAATGGTGCCGGTAACAGGTGGCCGCGGGAAGAAACCTTGGCTTTGTTGAGGATAAGGTCGGAGATGGGCAGTGCGTTTAGGGACTCCGGTTTCAAGGCTCCTCTTTGGGAACAGGTCTCCAGGTTTGCTTCTTCTCTCGCTCAGTTATCATCTTTTTCCCCCCCTTAGAAAATCCTCTTGAAAATGTGGCATTTCTCTTTCTTGAATATAGGAAGAAGTTTGGTACAGAAATTATTGCTTTTACGAACTGTTTGAACAATTGAATAAGTCATATCTGTAGAAAGTTTTTTTTTTTTTAATCCTTTTTCACTTCTGCTTCATTTGTTTAGATTTGGTTGTTCTCCTTACCTTGATTGTACTCAATTATCTGATGAACTTTGTGAATTATATATTGGTATGGTCATGTTTGTATAGACTAAATAGTGTGGTATCTATGATTTTGTAGTTACTTAATTCATTTAGAGTACTACAGTAAATGGTTAATTCAAAGTAACAGAATTGAGATGCAATGATGGGGTTATCGCTTCTGTAACCAGGAAATTGGCTGAGCTTGGTTATCACCGCAGTGCAAAGAAATGCAAGGAGAAGTTTGAGAATATCAACAAGTACCATAAGAGAACCAAAGAAGGTGGATCCTGTAGATCAAATGGGAAAGCTTATCGGTTTTTTGAGCAATTAGAAGCATTAGACAATCATCATTCTTTTCTTCCACCACCTTCTTCTGAAGAAAAAATCAATTTTGAAGTACAACCAATAAGTGTTTTCCGTGATGCCATCCAGAACCTTACTTCAAATTTCAATGACACTTCTACTTCAACAACCACCTCATCAAGCAAGGAAATGGATAGAGGGCGAAAGAAGAAAAGGAAATTGGTGGATTTTGTTGAGGGGTTGATGAGGCAAGTGATAGAGAAGCAATTGAATTTTCAGAAGCAGTTTTTGGAGGCAATGGAAAAGTGTGAACAGGATAGGGTAGCAAGGGAGGAAGCATGGAAAATGGAAGAATTGGCTAGGATTAATAGGGAACGTGAGCTTTTGAATCAAGAGAGATCAATTGCAGCAGCAAAGGATGCTGCTGTGCTTGCACTTTTACAAAAGTTTTCAGGGGAAGCAGGCTCAGTGCAATTGTCCTTGAACCCACCTCCAGCAGAGAAAGTTGTTGAGAGACAAGAAAATAGTAATGGTGGTGAAAGTTACATGCCAGGCTCTTCTCGGTGGCCTAAGGATGAAGTAGAGGCTTTAATAAGACTAAGAACTGAGCTCAATTTGCAGTATCAAGAAAATGGGCCTAAAGGTCCTCTTTGGGAGGAGATATCAGGAAGAATGAAAAAGCTTGGCTATGATCGTAGTGCAAAGCGGTGCAAGGAGAAATGGGAAAATATGAACAAGTACTTCAAGAGGGTAAAAGATAGCAGCAAGAAAAGGCCTGAGGATTCAAAGACATGCCCTTATTTTCAGCAGTTAGATGCTTTATACAAAGAGAAGGGTAGGAAGATTGATGGTTCAATTAATTCTGGTTATCAATTGAAACCTGAAGAACTCTTAATGCAAATGATGGCTACACAAAAACAACAACAACAACCAGAGTCAGCAACAAACAACAGGGAAAGTGAGAAAGTTGATCAGAATCGTGAAAAAAATGGGGACAATGAAGTTGAAGGAGATGCTTATCAAATAGTAACTAATAATTCTTCTCCGATGGAACTTGTTGGATGATGAAGAATGTTTTGAACTTTATTTGTAGAGGTGAAGATATGCTTCTAAATTTTGTGATGGGTCACGGTCATAGTCCAGCAGACCATATGATGGTCTGTGTGGGGGCAAAGTTTCAGTTTTTATAGTTGCTTTTTTTTTTTCTTTTTTCTTTTTTTCACACTGGAAGTAATCACCTGGTTACTTGTTTTAATAACCTATCCTTATTAATACCCAAAAAAAAAAAAAAAAGCATCCATATATGTAAATGTTGATGATTTGTTGAATAAACATGGGAGGGAGGGGGGAGCCGAATAAGAGGGAGGATGATATGTGTGATATGTGGATGAGTGAGAAATCCCAAAGTATGAAAAAGTGGGAATTTGTTGGTTGTGTTTGTAACTTTGTATCAGTAATGCTGCAATGAAAGGTTTGCACTTTTTGGTTAGAGTAGTTGTAGTTGTAATTGCCTGTATGTCAATATCGATATGAATGGTAAGGAAAAGCCTTGGACATCATAAATGGGGAACTGTTTTCAAGATTTGTCAACCTAAGAGAACTATGGAACGAAAGCTACAGAATGCATGAACACCACATCACACATCAGAAATGATGCATGGTAGCAGCTTATAATCGCTTTGCTGCTTCATGGATTGAGATGAGGGGTGGGCTCCTTGATGGTTCCATGTCGAGTAATTTACTTTCTACCAGTAGTTATAAAAATGTGCAACCCACATAGGCGAATTGCAAAACAACTCTCTTCTGTCATTCATTATTTATATTCCGAAAATCATGTCTCTTATTTATTTTTATTGCAAATGGGCATTTATGTCTTGTTTCATTAGAAATGCCAGTGACCAAAAGGGTATATGGCACAGCCTCTCACATGCTCGTGTCATGACCCGTCTCTTGTTTTTTGCTAACTCAATGTGAATTTTAGGAACCAAAACAGACAATGCAGCAGCTTCCAGCTACCCACATGAATTAAAAGTTGTTTGTTCGTTTTTGGCCGAGGAAATAAATTTTCATTCAAACAGTGGAACCTGGCAGAGATGAAAGGCACACAAGCTGCACTGTTACGGAAAAGTATCCTATGTTTTCACCCCACGCCAGCTTTGATACTTTCTTTCTTCATCAGTTTTCACTTCTCCTTGACCGTCAGATCATACATGTTTTATCCCCCTGAGATCACAACCGCACATTTTTTCACTACACACCCTCCAGGGTACTTTGCTTTCAGTTTCATTCACCTCTAGTACCACTAGTTTTCTCTGTCTCTCCTCTTGTCTCCATCGCCATGGCGGACTATGAACCGTTGCAACAGCAGCATCACAGCCACCACCAAGCAATCCCGAAAGAAACAGCTCTCCAGGCTCTAAACACCATTATCCAGCTCCATTTCGAGAAAACCCTGGAGAAGAAGAGAGCCATAGATCTCCAGAAAAAGGAGCTCCACAAGCTCTTCCAGCTCTTCTTCATTTTCCTTGGCCTAGTCTTCATGGCACAAGCCCAGTCCAACCGCCTCCAATGCCGCCACTGCTGGGCCCCCATCACCCTCCTCTCCCTGGCTCACCTCATCTTCTACGTCTCAGTGGCCCAGACCCTGAGATGCATTAACGGGTTCAAGTACCAGAGGAGGTGCCACAAGCTCACCCTAGGGCTGGCCACCGAGAAGCTGAGGGAGATGAAGATGAGGATCAGCAACGGCGAGTTTGTGGATGGGTTTGGGGAGGAGAGTGAGTTGGAGATTCATTACCAGGAGCCTCCGGAGAGTTACTTTGCTAAGTTCAAGAGAAACTGGGCTCTGCATTTTGGGTTCTTGATCTTGATCTATGCATTCATGGTTTCTTCTTCAGTTGTGCTGCTCTGTTTTTAGCTTTTAGATTCTCAATCAATGTCCGATTACACTGCTTCTCATTTCAATATACAATTCTATTCCTTAGATGGTTGTTGAGTGCTCTTTATATCCTGCAAAGATGGTTTCTGGTCAAAATTTTTCATAGAATGCAAAAGTCGATACAAATTACAAAAGATACTTTCATTTTTAGCCATGTGTGGAGAAAAGTTAAAAATGATAATAAACCTTTGTCAAAGGCAGATTTTTCTTTCAATTCAAAAGGCAAAGAGAAAGTTACCTGATCTATACGGTAAACTTGACAAGAAGAATCACCAGGCTTATTCTTAGAATCAAGCTCGAACTTGTTTTCTTATCTTTCGAACAAAATCAAGCTTGAAATATTAAAATTTGACCATCCCATCGGGCATTTGAGATTAGCTTGCTGCATTTCACATTCACAGTACATAATGTGAACCATTTTTTGCTTGTTAAGAATATAACACATGGCACAACTAACAGCATTTATCACTCTTTGAGAGGCACATCATCTTTCTTTATGCACTAGTCCAGCTCAAATCCATGAACATGCACTTTCAAACACAATATCCACAAATAGCTAAAAATAAAATAAAATAAAAACCGTCCCTAAATTGATTAACAAAACATTAAACACAAAAGAAATTAAAACTTTAAAATAAAACAAAGAAAAAGCACCACTAACAATATTAATCATCCTTTCAAGACCTGACTGAAGCAAATTCAGAAACGCTATCCATTCAAAGCTCCAGACTACAACATTAAATTAAATTCAGAAAATGACAGCTTTTAAAATAAAAGATGAATAGAACCAGGACAGAAACTTACAGATTTCCATTTATTCTTACACTTTTGGCTGGTGGCAGGGGTCGAATGAAAAGATGCAACCTTAGGAATCTTTATCCTTTGTTGTGTAACTCACAATGAGAAAGATGTTTTTAGTCCGGACTGACTCTCTACCTGGTCTGGCTAATTGAAATTTGAAGAAAAAGATGTTTCTCATCATAAATATAAATCTTCACATCAATAATCCTTTTTCCTATGGTGAAGAATTACATCAAACTTATTGACAATTTGACATAAACAATGGTGAAGAATGGACCAACTTTTCAAACTTTGGAACAGATGACAGTCTACATGACTACAAACATGGACTGGTTAAGTTTATATGTCCCCCTTTACCTGCACCATGGCCACCTCAGGTGATATTTTGATGTAAAACCATTGAGTCATCAACTTTAAAACATTCCATTATCATCCAACATAGAACCTTGTATCCTGGTCTTTATCTTCAGTCCAACTATAACCAGGATCCTTGACAATCTGTCTATCTGTCATCAGCTCTCTGACAGTCCTCGCTTCATCCCATCTTCCTAAGGAAGAATAGATATTGGCTAAAAGCACATAAGGGGCAGAATTTTCAGGGTCCAACTGGAAGAGTTCCTCTGCCGCTCGTTTGGCCAAACTGACATTAGCATGAACTCTACAAGATGAAAGCAGAACTTCCCATATGATTGGATCATCTTTATATGGCATCTTGTCCATAAGCACTTCAGCCTCATGAAACCTACCAGCTCGGCCAAGAGAGTCAATGATACAAGTATAGTGATCCAGTTCTGGCCCTATTCCATGGTCCCTCTGCATTGAATTGAATATTTCTAACCCTGCATCCACCATTCCTGAATGACTACAACCAGTCAAGACAGAAGTGAAGGTTATGCCATCAGGTTTCTCGCCTGATTCAATCATGCATTGGTATAGAACAAGAGCCTCATTTCCATGTCCATTTTGAGCATAGCCATGTATCATCTCATTCCAGGTAACAGTATTCCTAACACGCATTGTTTTGAAAAACTGCCGGGCCTCATATACATCACCACATTTACAATACATATTAATAAGAGCACTCCCCACAACAACATCAGTCACATATCCATCTTTTTCAGTGTGAGCATGAACCTGTCGCCCTTGAAATGAAGAAGATAATTTCGCACAACAGCTCAGTACAGTTGCATAAGAGAATTGAGTTGGGACCATTCGTTTTAGTAGCATTTGCTTAAAAAGCATGAAAGCTTCTTTGTTTAGAGAATTCTGTGAAAAACCTGCAATCATAGTATTCCAACAGACAATATCCAGTTTGGGTACACGATAAAATATACGCTCAGCCATCTCAGTCTTCCCACACTTTGTGTACATGCCAATCAGCCCACTTACAACAAATGTATCGGGGTACAGGGCAATCTTTTGTGAGGCAGCATGAATCTGTTTTCCAGCCTCCAGAAGGCTCATTCCTGCACATGAGCTGAGGATAATAGCCAAGGTAGTCCGGTCAGGTTTTACATGTTGAAACTGCATTTCCCTGAAAAGCTTTATTGCTTCATTGTGATTCTCATGCTGGGAATACCCAGAAAGTATGGTATTCCATGAACTTAGAGTAGGGCATGATAAGCTATCAAACATCTGACGTGCTGTGGCAACATCCCCAGACTTAACACACGCAGCAAGAATATGGATATAAGTAACCTCATCTGGTTCAAACCCACAATGCTCCATTCTTCGTAGATACTCAATGGTTTTCTCACTTTGACATTTCTGGCCATACCCATCCATCATAATATTCCATGAAACAATGCTGAGTTCAGGCAAATTAGAAAATATTATCTCAGCACTCCTCATATCCCCATGCTTTGCATACATATCAAGCAATGAATTTCCCAAGTGAACATCCCTTTCGAAACCAAGTTTAATCAAAAGGCCATGAATTTGTTGCCCATGTACGTTACTCAAAAAGCTATCATTCTGATCATATTCACCATACCCGTCTCTGGCACATACACCCAAAACACTAGACAATGAGACAGAATCAATCTGAATCCCATTTTTACACATCAGCTTAAACAATTCCAAAGCCTCTAAAACTCTATCCATTTGTGCCAACCCACCCACCATTGCAGTAAAAGAAACCTCATTAGGTTCATCCATGCTGCCAAAAACTTGAATAGCATCTGCTATAAGCCCACACTTAGAATACAAGTTCAACAGACCATTACTGACATATGCATTCGTATCAAGACCAATCTTAATGGTAAGACAATGACATTTCCTCCCAAATTCAACATCTAAGACTGCACCACATGCACTCAACACACTGGCATAGGTGACATATGAAGGCATAAATCCTTCTGACATCATTACATCATAAACATCCAATGCCTGGTCCTGGTACCCACTTCTCACTAATGCGCTAATCAAGTTGTTCCACGAAACAACATTTCTCTCCGGCATTTCCTCAAACACCTTACGCGCGCCACGCAAATCCCCCGCTTTACAGAAACAACACAAGATCGCATTCCATGAGTAAACATCTTTCTGAGGCATTTTTGCAAACACATGGTATGCTGAATCTGCCTTGTTGCATTTCGAATAGAGTTCAATAAGGCGGTTGGATAGAAAGGTATCGGAGAAGAGTCCGGAACGGAGGGTGTGGGCATGGAGGATCTTGCCTGAACGGTGAGCTTTCTTGTCGATGCAAGATCGCAAGAGGTTGGCGAGGTGTATGGTGGGTTTCCTCTTCATTTTGCTCTGCGACGGTAAAATATTTGAATTGGAATTTGTTCACCATTGCCGCCGTGCGAGAGCATATGTGGTCTGGCACTGGGCGGCATTGACATTTTTCTTTTCAACTGAAGTTGAAAAAGATAAAATAAAAACAGAAAATGAAATCCTGGCATTAATATATGAACAATTTAAAATGCATATTTTCTCACCAAATTACAAAACATTTTTTTTTCTATGTTTCTAAATTACAAAATATTAATTATTGAATAATGAGAAATCTTGATAATAAGTGCAAGCTCTTTGGTCTAAATATTTTTGCAAACTGATAATATAGTATATTTAATAAAAGTGCATTTAAAATGCAATTACTATAATATAATATACTTAATAAATTAAAAAATGTTAATAAGTGTATTATCATAATCTCACAAATGTAATTGCAATTTTTTGTGAAAAATAAAATTTAAGATGTACCATATTTAAAATTTTAAGATTGTTTGTGAAATTATTTGTTAAACACTAAATCTTATTTGTATATTTATATTTAAGTTTTTTTTATTATTTATGATATTTTAATTATTTTTTTATAAAAAAAAATTATTGTTTATTTTTAAGGCCATTTTTAATTAGTCGCTGATATTAAAATTTCATATTTCAAAAATAAATAAAGAAGAAATATTTTCAAATAAGTGATAAGTTTTTTATACCATATGATTATAATAAGTTAAAAACTCAAGACTTCATTACCTATTTTTTTAAAAAATAAATAAATAAATAAAAACTCAAGACATAAATTTTTTTTTTTTTTTACATTGATATTAGGGATTGAATCCCAAACAGCACAATTAACTTTACTATTAATACTCTTAACTATAAATTTAAAATTCAATTCTTAATTTTTATATACTAAAATAAAATTGTGTTATTGAATTTTTAACCTGTTAAAATTGTGGGACAAAAAACAAACAGCATAGTCTCATGGTATGGAAAAATTGTTACTTATTCGAAAATGTTTATTCTTTATTTATTTTTTGAAAAACGTGATTTTCAATATAAACGCTAAAAATGAACAATAAAATTGTCACTCATCTCAACGACACAATGTTGAGATGAGTGCATATCGCTTTCTAGAGACAGCAGCATCCTCAAAAAACGCCTTAGGGGAATGATGCTCAAAGGCGAAAACCCAATGTCTCATAACCATAGAAAAAGATTGGAAAATATAAGAGGCATAAGGCATGACTCAATTATAAAATCTCATTGTCATTCTCGCGGTGTCACCAAATCCTGATCCTTTTCATTTTTATACTCCAATTAATTGATAGAACATCCAATTAATTGATAGAACATCAAAAATGAGTGAGGGAGTATGTGATGATGAAAAAAATGCAAGAGTACTTTGTGTTGATCATGATGGAATTGGATGGGAGAGAGACTAAAAGAGAGAAAAAAACAACAACAAAAAAAAAAACAGCAAAAGTTCTAGGCTGGTGGGTCTGAAATGTTCTCGTTTGAGAAGGTATAATACACCGGTGACAACCACGCTGGCATATGAAGATATCATTTCCATTAACTTAATTTAAGGTGTGGACCCTTTAAAAAAAAAACCTAAGATAATTTAAATTAAATAGAAGTCATGCCATCATCAACATGCTAAATGAAAAACTTAAGCCAATTAATAAGGTTTTAGAGTTTGAAATCCCCTTTAAAATGTTTTAATAATTAAAATTGTGGATTTTTATATTAAAAATCTTAAATTCAAATCATAAAATAAATAAAGAAAAATTTTAAAAATAATATTATACTCTAACATATAATTTATTATATAATATAAAAAAATATTTAGAATTTGTTTTATACAATTAACATGGAAGAGAGAAAGTGAAAATTTTTTTTCAACCAATTAAATTAAGAGGTGGGAACAGTATCTTATTTTGTTGTTGTAAAAGATACATCGAACCAAACAAGCAATGTGAAGATACATTGAAACAAATAGTAACAAATATAGGAAACATAAGGAATACTAAATATGGTTTTATATATACTGTCTAAATTCAACTGATGATAATAATAACGTTAGAATTTCCATACGTACTTACCTCAAGATCCTGTCTCTGTGCAACCCAAAATATGATAAAAGTAAAAGGAAATATTCTGTATACACGACATGATACATGCTAGATAGGCTTCCATACATATCAACGCATGCTGGTATGTCAATGTCCAGCTGGGAGCAGGACCCGCATCGAAACCTGGCCAACTTACATTTGCTTTGCTGAAACTGCATGACAGGCACGCACGCACAAAGAAATCTCCATAGTTACTCCTACACCATTTCCTACTTGTATTTAATTTTACCCATTTTTCCTTTCCTTTTTTTTAAAAAAAAAAACAAAGGCAACAAATCTTGTTCTTGCATCGCCAAAGCTTACAGCCTGTGACACCTATTCTTGTCTACATACATACATCCATAGAAATCATAGTATTAATTTTCCCAAAACATTAAAAACACTTGGAATTTGTCTCTTGATTTCTTCTGTTGTCTCTGTTTCCTTAGTTTCCTCCCTGCAGAATCCAGCCAAACTCCAAAACTAAATCTCTCAAATCCTCTGTTTTTCCTGCTTTTTTGTAAATTAACATGGGAGGTTGTGCGACCAAGCCTAAGGTTTTGAAGGGTGAAGAAGGGAAGGCCCCTGTTTCAGCTCCAGCACCTGCTAAGGAGGCAGAGCTTGTTACTCCTGCTGCTGTTACAGAGTCGAGGGAGGTTGCTGTTGTTGCCGGTGGTGGCGATGCAGTTGTTAAGGTTAAGGAGGAGATTGTTGAGGTTGATGACGAACAAGGAGGAAAGCGGCAATCTCTGAGTAACTTGTTTAAGGAGGTATGTATTTGTAACCTTACTCTAATAATTTTTGTTGTTGCTAAGTATAAAGGATAACTAATTGCTCTTCTGATGCCCATTTATATGAATTTGATCTGTCTCTTGATATTTTGATACCAAAATTAAAGTAATTATGTTTCTTTTATTAGTAATTCATGTGATTAGTGATTTCATATGTAGAAGCCAGGATCATTCAGTTAAAAATTGTTAAAATTGTGTTTCCAATCTGTTTGATCCAAGTTTCATCATGCTGTTTTTAGTGAAATATGAACTTATTTTAACCATTTGATTCGGTGAGAAAACGAAAGAAAGTAGAAGAAAGGAAAAGAAAATGAAATTTTTAACCAAAGATGTTCCTCTATTCATGGTATGAAAAGTATGGAACATCAATAAAATGGGAACCCAAACAAAAGTTTTCTTTGGGCTAAAATCCACAAGGATTTCAAAAATTTAAATTCAAATTATTAATATTGATTGGTTGTGCTATACAATCCAAATCCAAACAGAAGGTTTTTGAAGGCTGAAATCCATATAGATGTCAAAAACTTAAATTCAAGTTGTTAATATTAGTTGGTTGTGATATACAATCAAAATCCTTCACAATGTGGGATATGAATCGTCATAGAAAGTGTAGAAAAGCTGTATTCTCTTCACAATTATATTGGTGGAGGCAAAATATTTCAAAGGGTCAAACTTTATTTTGTGTAGAAGGCCCCATGTCTTGATTCTGTCTAATATCCTGTCTGGAACAATAATTTACAATCAGACATAGAATTCCTTACCTAAGGTGAAATTTGCAATGTAAGTTTCTGTGTGGGGCTTTAATGAAATACTTTGAACATGAAGAGCAGGAGAGGAGAATCAATATATGTATGGTATATTCAAGCTTTATTCTCCATCAAATCCGATTTTACATTTGATTCCCCAAAAAAAATCTTGGGTTCTATGTCCTTATGGACCCACTAGTTGTCTGTTTCCACCTTGATTTTTATGTGTTAACACATGTTCTGTATCAGATCATATAAGTCTTTGCAGTACCGTCTGTCTTTTGGATCTTAATGTGTCTTAATGTTTGCAAGTAAATGTGTGACATGTTTCTTTCAGAGGGAGAGATTTTTTTTTTTTTGGCCGACGAAAGAGAGATTAATTTAACTTTCTTACGAAAAGCAGAATGATGGAGACTTAATTCGGCGCAATTTATGGGGCATTTGCATTGTTGTACTTTGCATGTCTTGTTATGTTTAATATATACTTTGAAAATGTACATTTTCCTGTTTTTGTGTGTTTGTAAGAATCGTTCACTACTAACAATTTGAACCTTTTGAGGTACGCAAATCTTTGTATAAAGAGTTGTTAAACTGTAAGGATTTTGATTGAGTGGTTTCAATATGGTACCTAAATTAATGCTTAAATTTGAACTTGAAAAAAAATATATTAAGTTGGTAAGTTTGGAGCAGTTGAACAGTTGTATATGGTATTGGGTGCAGAAGGAAGGGGATGAGTTAACAGAAAGTGATAAGACACCATTAGAGCCTGTGAAGCAAACAGAAACAGAGAAGGAACAATCAGAGCCAGTGAAACCAAAAGAACCAGCAGAGGCAGAGAAACAAAACGAGTTCAAACAAGGTCAAGAAGCTGAAAAACCATCAGTTCCAATTGAACCAACTGTCATTCCTGATTCTGTTGTTACCGTTGAAAATATAGAAACAAAGACACCAGTTGAAGATGCCCCTGCCCCAGCCTCTGTCCCAGCCCCAGCCCCGGTCCCAGTCCCATCCGCAGCCCCTGAGACTGCCTCCGCGCCAGAGACAGAAACAGAGAAGCAGGTAGAAGAAGCAAAGTGAAGTGCCAGAAATGATGTCAGAGTGTGATATAACTAAGAGGCCTCAAGGGCTAACATAAATACCCCATTTGTGGGAGTTCTGTTGGGACTGGGAGGAATGTCTCTGGTTGCAGGGATATATGGAGTAATTTGGAATGTTCTAGGCAACTTTGTGAGTGGAGTTATTTATGTTGTTCAATATATACAATCATTGTCATTTGGGGTTGTTTAATATTGGATTGTTACCAAATTTGGAGACACTGGATTGTCAGGTTTAATATAAAGATCATAGATTTATTTTAATTCGTCATGTTAATATACTAGTATAATGTTTAATCAAATCAATTCCGAGTTGAGTTTGGATTGCTAGAGTTCAGCTCCACTCAACTTGCTTATAGTCCTTTTATAATTCCAATTAGGAAAACTAGTGATGGTGACAAACTCTATATGATATAGTTCTGAATAAAGAAAGGCCTAATATCATACCTCAAAATTTCCCTCCTTGCCTCACCTTAGACTCAAATCTTCTCTTTTGATTCCCTAAACTCACACAAACTTCTGGCTATCCATGGCCGCCCAAGAACAAAATCCTGCCATGGCTGAGAGAAAACGAGTTGTGATTCTCAGACGGGCAACCAAGAACATCATCATTTAAGCGTCCAAGACTCAGGAACCGGACGCCCTTAAGGTTGATTCTAATTGTGCAGATCATCAGGAAGACATGAATGGGGATCTTCTGATTGAATTGGAAGCTACAAAGAGGAAACTTGAAGAAATTATTAGATACAAAGAAATTTAAAAGAATAAGAAGGAGGTCAGAATCATTAAATTCAAAGATGTTTCCATCAAGGCAGAGTGTACCGTCAAGTTAAAAAAACTGGAGCAAATATGGACGTTGATGCAGGGGCAGCAGGGACCTCCTCTGCGGCCACCAGACAACTAAATTCATGATGATCAATACATTCAATCTAATTACGAGTTGTTTAGTCATGTCATTGGTTTTGTCTTTTATACATTGGATGTTAATAGTTAGTACTTCAAATGTCTGAATCTTGATGTTAAGAATTTTCCCGCCTTTATAATGAGCACCAAATCAAGTTGTCAGGAACCGTACACCCTTAAGGTTGATTCTAATTATGCAACCGTCAGCAGCAAGGTTGTTCAACAATCTAGGCATTATGATTCGTATCATCAGGAAAACATTTTTACATCGGCAAACAAGAAAATTTTATTCAAAAGAGTAGATGGGTATCATATCATGATAATTGCCACAAAACTATAGTCTAATTACTGAGACAGACTGCATCCTAACCCACACAACCCCATTTAGGCATTAATCAAACACTTGGTCTACCTAACAAAAAGGCATTCTTCTCTCTTTAAACCTAATATCTGAAAACGCAAAAATTTCAACTTTCTTAATTCTTAATTCACTTGTACTAAATATCAACTATTAACACACAATCCAAATAAAGTACCATTGGAATCAACAATTATCCTTTGCCAATGAGCTAAATATATTTCACTTCAACTCTGTCTCACTTACCTTGCTTTAAGCATGAATAAAGAGCTTCACATCCATGGGCATAATCTCAAATTCCGCTGGTTAAGAGACAAATAAAACTTGGTGGCTGTACTTTTTCTTTGGCTTGGAGGAGTTCCACATCACTTCCACCTCCTATTTGAAAAGCACTGCCTTAATCCTCAATGCTTCTGCACTTTAAATTTTTATTTTTTTTATCCATTGTAAAACAAATTGGTAAAAGAACGTTTCAACGAAAACAAAAATAAAATAGAAAATTATTAGAAGGAACTTATTTTTTTTTCAAAAGTTTTTTTTTTTTTTTTAGTTTACTTGCTTCCAAAGAAAATTAATCAATTCAAACAACTTTGTACTTCTACTTCATTCAGTAATAACACTCCTACTTCATTTATTATAATACTTAGAGTTCATTCAGCATTAAATCTATTAAAATCTATATATTTTTATGAACAAAACCCTAATCTCCATCGTGTGCAACCCTTTCTTAAATTTCCTACCATTCCTCATCAATTTTCTCCTAATTTCTTGCCTCAACCCCGATTCATACCTTTATTTTTTGTTTCCATCCATCAAATATGGCTGGCCCAGTTATTGGATTCCATCCTCACAGTTTTTGCAACCCTTCTGATCATTGTGTTGTTCCCCTCGGAAAACAAAAGGCTGCGCTATCAGGAAGAGGACCATTCATTGTTCGCTTCAAGTTACCGCCGACTTCTAACATCGCCAAGGTTGAAGTACCGGTGAATATTCATGCACCCAGCAACACAAACGGAAAGGGAAAGGTTGTTGATGCAATCGCAACCGGTGTTAGCTCCATGGCTGCGGACGCTGTTAGAAACACCGACATTAGTCCTGTCCTTGCGACACAAAAGCCAAAGATCGCAGGGGAGGAGGTAACTGTCCCTGTCATGCCGGTGGAGAGAAAGCGGCACATTATATTATACGCTTGAAGGTAGCCACAACCAAGAACACTACCACCGAAGTACCGGTGAAAAAGAATCAAGAATCAAGAATCAAGAGCACCGAGAGTGTAACGGTCGGAAAGGTTGGGTCGACTGCAGTGAATAATAAAGGAACCTGTAGCAGGTCTCCAAGCGGAAAAGTTGTTCATCAAGACAGAAATATTGGAGAGCCGATGAAGACTTCTCCCGAAGGACTCAAGAATAAAGCTTCGGTGCCAGAGGGCAAGTATGAAGACAAGTTTGAGGCTTCAAAGAGAAAACTTGTAGAACAATACAAAGGAATTCAAGAGAGCAGGAAGAAGATCAAGGTGATTGAACTCAAAGATCTTCCCAAGCAAGGCACTCATTCTGGTGCTCCTGCGCCGCCAACTAAGAAACGGATGATGAAGACCAAATATGGTCGACATTAGTGCAATGAAATAGTAAGGTGTTTGGGACCTCCATTGAATGCATTATTTCTTGATTTGTTATAAAGTGCACAACATTAGTATATACCATCAGTTTATGTATTACTTGAAGCACATATATAGTACATATGCAGTATAAATATATGATGATTTGAACTTCTTTTTCTCAAAAATTATTAGCATTTTGTTAGTTCTACAGCAGGCTGTTTGGATAATAAAGGAAGTTTTGGTTGTTTTATTCGTAATGACTCATAGCAATGTTCATGATATGGTCTGATGACGATCAGGTGGGTGTTTTGAGTTTGCTTGTTAACATATCAAAACTAAAACCATTCCAGCTTTGTACTATTACAAATTCTAATGGATGGAAACAGTTGATCTGGCAAACTACAATAATTTAGTATGCTTGAATATGCTTTTTAACTTCTTAATTAAAAAACACAAAATTCTCATGGACCAAAAATTCATTACCCAAGGGAATCAATTTAGTCCTCAATTAAAATCCTACCTATAAATGATTAATTAAAATTGTGCTACACTACCAATCTATATATATTCTACTATAGATCCCTCATCCCTTGTCTTCAATTTAGTGGGAAAGGGAAACGGAAGGGATTGTCATTAATTTGTCAAGGGTTTCAAGACCCAATTCAATGAGTAGTTACTGCTTTCATCTCTGAACCTGCTTTTTCAACATCAGCAGCCGGTAAACATAACCCTTCTTCCATTTTCTGTTCTCTGGCTTTCCCCCACAAAACACTGTAGAGCCCTCCAACCAATAGCAGCCCACCCATGATGCTACCAAAAAGAAAAAGAGACTAATGTTATTTGATTATGAAATCAAATGGGGAAACATTGATGAAAAGGGGAGAAAATTTACTGAGGCAACCTTACCTTCCTAAGCTAATGACCTCACACAAGAGAAAAACAGAACATAACATTGTGAAGATCAAATTTAGTGGAGTTGACATGGACAAGAACACTGGTCCTTTCTTCTCAATCACCCACGCTTGTAAGTTGAATGCAACTCCAGTCACCACAGTTCCCTGTCACGGTTTTGCCCATGTATATCCAATTAACATTTGATTTTTCAACTGTTTTTTAATGTTATTATTATTTTTGTCAGACAAAGGATTTGTAGAATATAGGGAGAAACTTACACAATAAGCAACTGCAAGGAGTCTGAGATCCCACCCCAATCTCCACTCGTTAGTGTTTCTTTCCAATGCAATAGCAATAACAAAAGACTGAACTGAGCTCAAGAAGCAAGAAAGAGTGGTAAATAGAAGCTTAGAAGGGTAGCCCTTCATTACCCGACCCTGTTTCACAACAAAAAGAAAATGCAAATAAAAAGGTGTCAATCAAAAGAATCAGTAAAGTCTTACAATGAACAATTGTATCAATAATTTGGGATCAAATCTTGCATTTAGCAAAGAGGGAAGGGGTAAGAATGAATTTCCCAATGTGTAACACATACAACAAGAAACCCCCCCCCCCCCCCCAAAAAAAAGAAGGCAAATAAACTATTCAAGCTAAGAGCAGTGCTAGGGGCACTCGCTTTCTGCACTCCCGGCCAACACTTCCCCTTTCATTGGGCCACGTAAGCTTCTTTAAAGCCTTCAGGCGCAATCTCTCGTGAACCAAAATAACGTGGTCCAATAAAAGAGAAAGTGTTGGCCGGAGAGTGCAGAAAGTGAGTGCCCCTAGCATTGCTCTTCAAGCTAAAAGGCATTTCAAACTATCAATAATGGGTTGTGTTTGTTAACCTGAAGTACAAGCCACATGCCCCAACAAGTGTTGGACATGAGCAGAAAGAAGCAGCCCTTTATCCAACTCATGCCAGAAGAGACTTGGCCCTGAGTTTGGTGGGCTTGGTGGAGCCCAAACAGGTGATGGAAGCAGGGAATTTTGAAATGGGGACCTTTGAAGAAGGCAAGGGTTAATGCACCCCCAAAGCAAATAAGTATTCCCACAAATTTTGCAATCCCAGGAATAGTCTTCAGCCGCAACATCTCCATCCTACGATCCAAATTTCACATTAATTAGACAATGTTTAAACAATAACTTCCAATATATATATATAGATATATATAACTCAAATACAATTAAACAATATAATTTGCATTCCACCTGCATTGTTGTCATTTTAACATTTTAAGCTTTCCACTTTTTAGTCCCCATCCAATAAATTGGGCGTGACTAAAGTCTTCCAATGATTGTTTCAAATATTTGTATCGGATATTCAGACGCTAAATTTAAGAGTAATGATCAGGAGGACGAAAGTGCGGAGCAAAATTGAGGGACGACAAGTGAAAATTGCAAGATACAAAATTACCAATTTCACCTTACTCGCTTGTCGTCCTCCAATTTCGCTCCGCACTTTCGTCCCCCTTATCATTACTCTAAATTTAATGGCCTTCATTATTAATTGAGTGCCTCAATATCTGCAAATGTTTTTTTGTGTAATGATTAGTGTTTGTCTAGTTGTAATTTAGACAGTTTTTTTTTTTTTTGTTATTAATTAGTAGTTCTAGATATTTTTTTCCAATTGAAGTGTCTAAAATTTTAGGTGGGATGTAGATGAATATGGTTATGGTTATTATTAATATTATTAAAATTTTAATTTTTAAAATAATATTTAAAAATATTTGTATTGATTTTAATTTATTAAATAATAAATAATAATTATTTTTATTAATTAAATTCAATAAAATTAATATTTTAAAAATAATATTTTATAATTTTAATAACTATAACATCATTGGGTAAATACTGTACTTGATGTGGATGCTTAACTACATGGTGTAAGTTTTTAAATGTTTATGTACAGTATATTCCAAGTAATAGCTATTTTATAATTTATTATTTATTGGCGTTTTCCCTTCCATGACAACTGGCATCAACATCTGAGACTGGGACCTCCTGGCCCTGGCCCCACCTACCCTTCCATTTTTCCTGAATAATCCTGAGCCTGTTTAATTCAGTTTTTACAAATGTTTTAATTGAATGAAATCTTTTACAGAAGTACTTATGAGTTTATAAAAATAAAAAATTTATAAATTAGGAAAAATCATTAAATTTAAAATTTTAATAACCAAGACTTATTTTAATATGTATATTTTTCAATTTTCATATCACTTAAAATTAAAAGTAACGTTTTAAAAAATACAAAAATAAATTTTTTTTGATAAAAAAATTTGTTTAGTCTAATTTCAATTTTTATAATAAAGAAAATCTTTTCACATTCGCAAGAAGAATTTAACCATAGTTTTTCAGCAAAATGGTTCAGTTCAGTTTGATAAACAGACCAGAGACAAGCAAATCGAAAACCACCAGATTTCTATTAGATAGTTAATAACGTTTAAAATCGTGCATCAATACACCAATCTTTTCCATTCTTTAATTTCAAATCCAATCCAAATTTACAAAGTTTCAATGGTTCTTTTTATTTTTTTTTTAATTACGCCCCCCCCCCCCCCAAAAAAAAAAGGTTCTTTTTAATTTTAGCTGTACGTAAATCCAGTTTATCCTCTACGTGGAGGAATACATCCATTCATTTGGAAATGGAAACATAAGATCACCTGAACAACACGGCCAAGAAGAAAGTGATGACAGGAAGACAATTGGTAGTTGCAGCAGCCAGAGTTGCAGAGGTATAAATCAATCCTGCTCCATAGACATCCAAGCTCAAAGTTACCCTTCATTTTAGAAGAAACCAAAAACCAAATTAATGAATTAAAAAGAAAGAAGATCATGTATATATATATATATTTAGGTAATATTAAATTTAGGTTTAAGATAGCTGCATTAATTTGAGCATGACATACCCACACAAAGAGAGCAGGAAAATCTTGCAGAATGTTACAAGTGAAAGTCGCGGGGCTTTTTTCCTTGAGTTGGAAGCAAGAACGGTTAGTTTTAATCATTCATGTGTCGAAAAAAAAAAAGAAGATACAAGTGAAACAATTAATTTACCATTCGAAGAATAAGGCAAATGGGATCAGGAAAATTGTAGCTACAGCCTGCCTGTAAAAAACGAATATGAAGTTGTTCATGCCGTGGTTGAAGGCAGCTTTGGATAACAAGAACATGCCGGTGTAAATGGACTGTATGAGAATAATGGCCAGGTATGACTTCTTCTGCTCCATTTTTGCTGAATGCTGCTTTTGGCACCTGAAGATGATGATGATGAAGAAAAGAAGTACTAGAGAGTTGCAGCAATGGAGAGCCAGGAGGAGGTTTATATTTATAGTGCAAACAGGCAAGGAGATGTGGCCAGATGGGCAATTTTGGAAATGTAATGGTGAGTGAAAATCACATGCATTAGGGATCTATAGGGACATGTGTGGTGAGGAAAAGGAGAGAAATGGACCACAAAAAGGTAAATATGAATAATGCTAGAATTGGCTTCTTTGATTCATTTGATAGCCACAGTACTGATGCCCCTTTCATGGGATTAAATTAGGATTATAGTATCTCTTGCCACTTTACCCCTTTTTTTTGTGATTTCGTGTATGTCAATTCTTCCTCCTATTCTTGCTTAGGATCTCTCTGGCTTTTGTCATGCCAAATCACTCCCAATAGTACGCAAGGAGCATTAATTGGCCTCCTAATGGAAAAATGAGGCAGTTTCGTGTGAATGATTTATGTAAATAGTACACAAAAACAATCATAATAACAATGATTGTTAGATAACGTTATCCGGTAAAATTGTAGGTGAGTCATATCAATTTCCCTAAATAATTAAAGCTTAATCTATAAAAGTTGGGTGGTGGAGCAACTCAATTCATCATAAGATGGCATGCCAATGGCATCCAAAAAGAATTTAAATGAAGCTTTGGAAATATCAAGGACATCTCTTATCCTTAAGCTATATTTCTTCCATTGAATTAAATTGTTGGATGCCTTTGTCAATTGCAGGTCCATTATATCACGTGTATCGGAAATGTGCACATGTAAAACACTCTGAACAGGGCTGCTGTCATTCTTTAAATTGGCAGGTACCGTGATATTTTATAGTATGTAATTTTTGAGTTTCATTCTAATTAAAAAAATTATAGAATAAGTGCTATAAATATAACTCAATTTATTTAACTTTTGCTCTTATCTATGGCTTAGGAGTGTAATAATTATATTTTTTATAATTAATTTGTATTAAAAATATAAATGTTAAATTAAATTAAATTAATTGATTAATTAAAATTTTACATATAATAATATTATTAAAATAAATGTTAATTTTT